AGGACCAGTTCACGATTTGCAATGGTCTCCAAGAGGAAACGAATTTGTTGCTGTCTATGGCTATTCTGGCCCAAATATGAGAGCAACCTTGTTTGATGCTCAATCTCAACCAATTTTTGAATTCTTACAACAACCAGAAAACACTACCAACTGGAAAGTGAACAAAATTTTCTATGCACCTCATGGAAGATTCCTCGTGCTGGCTGGATTTGGAGGCTTCACTGGTACACTTCTTTTCTTTGACAGAGAGAGAAAACGTTTGATGGGAATTAATCAAGCTGCAGAACCAACCTTTGCACACTGGTCTCCAGACTCTCGACTCTTCATTGTTGGAACTCATTACCCCAAGTTACGTGTTGCCAACAAGTTCCAAATTTACAAGTACAATGGCCAATTAATGTATCAACTCACGTTGCCTCAAGATGATTTCCTCTATCATGCCATCTTTCGTCCTGTATTAGCAAGCAGACACAAGAATCGTCCTCCTTCACCTCGTGTCCTTAATCAAGGTGTCGTCAATGGAACCTCTTCAGCTTCAGCCAACAAGAATTCCTCTCAACAATTCCACTCACAATCTCCCAACACTACAGCTAAAGTTTCTGCCTATGTTCCTCCACACCTTCGAGGAAAAACTGCTGATGTTGCTCATGGACCACCTCCAGGAAGTAATTTCAATCCGTCATCATCTTTGAATGCATCGAAACCTTCTTCAGGAGGAGCTCCAGTCAAAACAGTTGTGGCGAATATATTTGCTGGAAAATCAGAGGCAAATCAACCACAAGGTAAAAACTCTCCACCTCCACCCAATTACGAAATGGCTGAAAAGAAGAAGAAGAAGAGAATTAGAAAGCGAAAGAAGAAGAAGGGCGTTAATGAAGGAGAAGCCGGTTCCAATGCACAAGGCGGTGACAATGACGAAGAAGATGGTGACGAAGAGGAAGCAGATGAATAAGGCAACCATTCAATGAACGATAGTTTTCTACATTTTACAAATAATTTAAAATATAAAACACTAAGTTTATGAAATGTGAGTTTACTGATTGATTGTATTTTCAATGTTGTTGGACGACACCAGCTTGTCTTTATGTGCACGTTTCACACAAATAATTCCCATACCGCCTAATTTAAAAAAAACCGTTAAATTTTTTCAAAAAGAAAAAAAAATACATGATGACCGAAGAAGACGAACGTTCTCTCGATTTTGGTGAAAATCCAGAAGATGAATTTTTTCCATCATCCGAAGCACAACATGTTCATGCATTTGCAGCCAATGAGTTTGAGCCATCGTCCACGGCTGCATCATCAGAAGCCTCTAATGCTCATCCAATAATAACAACAGCAACAACAACAGCATCGGACCATCGTGAGTACCAATCGGCAACAACACCCATGTTGGATGAAGAGGAAGATGATCCCATGATCCATATGGTTGATTCAGCATCTTCTCATCATCAAGATGAAAACCAACCGATCACACATTTTAATGAACAACAACAAACAATGGAAGGGGTGGAAGAAACCTCTTCTCCGAATATGAATCATGATGTTGAACCATTCATGATGATGATGGCCGAAGAAAAAGTATTAACCACCAACACCATCCTTCCTCAACCAATCTCTTCCTCAACCGCCGCCAACACCACCACTAGTGAACACTCTCCTTCCTCCGTAACAGCAGCTACTTCCACAGCAGGACAATCTCTTGCAACTACCAATGCACATTCCATTCAAAACACTTCGTTTGAACAAAATTTTGCTGAAACAGCTCTAAGGTCCTCCTCCAAATATTTGGAAGATGACATTGATTTGGAACGAGTGCATTTTCTTAATGCATTTACCACGACAATGTTTGAAAATGTCATGAGGTTGGGTATCAGTCACAACAGTAACACAACTCCATTTGAAACAGCTCTTTCAGCTTTCCCAAAATCTTTCCTAAAACAATATGAACCCATTCTGTCAGATTGTTTTAGTAAGATGCAACGAACGGAACCTACTCGTTTTATTGAGGATTTGAACGATCTTATGTCGAATTATGGGCTCAAACAAAAATTGAATGCTCTCGATCGAACTGTAAAAATTAATGACCATTGGGTGTATTTTAAGAGGAATCCCAGTGAAAATGAGTCGAAATATGTGGTCGTGACGCCCGATATGAAGCAAGAGGAGAACACGTTACGAAAAAAGAATTGTCTTGCGAGCTTAAAAAGCTATCTAGAGACTAAGCGAGAGCTTCTACGACAAATGAACCATCACAAACAATTAATCAATCAAATGAATGAGCAGATACAGAATGAAAACTCTCAGCTCATTAAAACCATTCAAGAGGAGTACATTCCAACCCTTCAACAATACATGTCACCCTTACACAACATTGAGAAGAATTTGGACAATTATTACCGATCTGATGCGAAGAGTCAACAATCTCAACAATCGAGCAGCAGTGAAAATTCTGAGAAAAGGTAGTGTCTAAAATAGAGCGTAGAAGAAAGGCCAACAAAACATGCAGAGCAGAGAGCAAATTGGTATGGAGATGCAGTCAGTGAAATAAGACTGGATGTTAAACGAGCTCACATACTTTTAACCTCTAAGCAAATCTAAGTAACTTGATAAATTATTTTTTAACCAATTCGATGTTTCATATAGGTCCATTCTCTAGTCCGTGTTGATAGCAACAAGGTGATTCACAATGATTTGCTGTTAACTGATTTCTGAAGGATTTGACATCTGGCCGTCAATAACTATCCGTACATCTTTGTTTAAACAAAACCAAAATTAAGTACAGGGCTTGTAGTTCACATGGTAGAATATTTCCTTAGCATGGAAGGGGTACCGGGATCGATACCCGGCAAGTCCAAAATTTTATTTTTGCATTCAAAAGGCTTTTGGTACGGTTAATCCATTTCAATCGAAATGATCGCTGTTATGTCAATATGTCATTTGTTAAAATTTCATTGCGTGTATCATCAGTTCCCAAATAAGCACCAACATAACATTGTTTGACATTCGTTGTTCCATTCTTGCACGAACGAATAAATGATTGTCCTGACACTCACTCACATATCATTTGCAGTGAAGAGCCTCCATGACCCACTTGTGATTGAATTGCAATGAACAAGATGCAAAGACTTTATTGTTTACAATCGAAACATTCCTGGCCTTCACTACGTTCAGAACAAATCATGCGGCTGTCGTTGCCAAAATATGTCACTATTTTCATGATCACATTCAATTGGAGGACAACAGTGCAAGAAGGAAGACAACAGCGAAACATTGATGATCATTAACATTCCATCTTGGTAAAAGATACCGAAGATGAACGCAACAAAGTCACCAACAGCGGCCATTGCTGTAGTTGCTGCAATTAAGCAGTGTTTTAGCAGTCATCCGGGCTATTAGCTGTGTTAGTATTGGACGATTTCTTCTGCCCCTCTCCCAATCCAAACAAAGACTTCCATCAACCTCGGTATAGATTTGGACTCGTTCAAAATGGAATCCCTCAGCCAGTTTATCAAGATCCTTACTCCTGGAATGTATGCTTGCAAAATAGACCTATCGAAAGGTTATTTTCACATACCTATCCATCCCAACTCGAGACGTCTCCATTTGCTTTGCTTAGTGACTTCCCATCGCACTCCCACCCTTATCATGCTTTCTTAAGCTTTTCAAGTTCCTTTTTCGCTGATCCTTAATGTTCTTGTGGTAAGGAAGGACATTATGACAGTGCGGGACTGCCTTGTTCGAATCTTTTCGACAAGTAATTGAATATTTATTTTTACAACCTTATTTTAATATTTATTTATTTTACATTAATGTGACATTGTCACCACCTTTGATACTTGGTTTATTTATGATAATGTGAGTTGATCACAATCCATCTCTTTCTCATCATTTCCTTCTTGCTTCCTTGCGTTTCTCTAATTTTCTCCTTTTTTTCCGCTGAGCGGTTTTTGGAGTTTTTTAACTTCTACACCCCTTTTCAAATACTCTGCTCAACAAAGTCTAATGACAAAATATGCAGAAAATCTCTCAAACACCAATCCTTTTCAAAGGATGTTTGGTGAGTTACAAACCCCTTAGTCCAGCCTGCCCAAAAAATCCACATTTCCGAAACGCTCTGGAAATTACTAGCCGGATGCAATCAAATTATTAGCAACGAGAGCAACAGAAATCTTCAGCCCGTCAGAGGCAAATTCAAAATATTCCATGCACATGGTTACTCAAGAATATGGATTGGAAAATGATTCAATATTTGGAAATACCAATTGGAGAGCTTTCAACATGAATGTACAATCTAAAATCAACCGAATGGATGCCCAACGTAGTGCCTTCTTATTGACGGCTTCTAGCACAATTTCTTCATCATTGCTGAATTTAGTGGCATAATTCAAGGCCCAATGGATGGCAGCCAAAACTACTTTGTTGCAGCCCAGCCAAAATTGTCGGAGGGTTCTCCGACAAGTACTTTTTAACACTTTTTGAATGAAACTTTCAAAACAAAAAAATGAAGATGTAGGAAACTGAGTTTACTACACCATGGTCTCTTCTTTTCTCGTTGTTATTATTCAAAATATTGAGCAATGTACAACAATAGCGAACGAGGTGATATTTTTCGAAAATTTTTGGCCAAACCGGAGTGGCGATTCAGCCCGTAGCAACTACGTGTCTAGAATTTACTTCTTTCAGCTCTGCAACAAGTTCTTCTCATTTCTCAGTGTAACATTTCTGTCTTCTTGTTGGTAACAAGTACAATTAAAAATGCTACAATCCGTGGCAGTTGTCAGTTTCTTGTTGCTTGGGTGCCTCATTGACTTGATCACTTTTCACAACACGGCCCAACTCTATTTCAATCATCTACTCCGAAACCACCATCACACGACTTTATTTGTGAACGGCCAATCCCTCCCTCCTCCCATCCATTCACTCATCATGGACTCGTCGATCAACTCTACCAATTTTCTCTTCTTTTATATTGACGCTCGGAGCAATGCATCCATCCAATGTGGAGACACTCCTCAAAATCCATGTCAACATTTTTCAAATATCATTTCAAATCTCTACTCGGAAATGAACGTCAGCACACTTTACATGTTGCTAAAGGAATTTATTCGAGTGACACTGATTGTATGGTGGCATTTCCATCTGGACGATTTGAAACTATTGTTGTGGAAGGAAATGATGCAATTGTGGATTGTTCCAATAGTAAGGCATCTTTTTGGATGGATCTGAGTGAAAAGAAATATCCTTCAGAATTTATCGTTCGAAATTTGGAGTTGAATGTTGACATGTCGTTGTTGAATGCACACTTTATGAATGTCTGTTAAGAAATGTGGCCATTAGAGATACAAGAGTCACAGTCGTGGATAGTGTGATTCAAAACAATCAATGGAGTTTTCGTTCTCAAAAGACAATCATTCGTTCAAAAATCATCAATAGTCAATTTAAACATTCTTCGAGTTTGGAGATACAAGATTGGACAGTTACAGATTCAATATTAGAAAATGTCATGTTTGACTCGAGTTGGATTTCTGATTCAGAATATCAACCCATCAGTGCTCACTTTTCCATCACGAATACCACTATTATTCATTCAAATTTTACAATATTCACAGGTCACACTTAACAACTCCAAGTTTGTGTCAAGCTTTTCCAAAATTGCCTCTTCAAATGTTGTGGAAATTCATGGATGCACCTTTACTGAACATTCGTTTTTAATGTCAGGAGGAGTTTTCTCATTGATCATTTCTTCATCCAAGTTTGAAAACATTTCAAAGAAGGAAAATATGGTTAGAGTCGTTGGAGGACAAAGTCTACGCATTGAAAAGTGCACATTTTCAAGATCAGAGGCGAGATCAGTTTCAGTGAACAGTATTTCAGCTGTGATTATTGAACATTCAATATTTTCACACACGGGAGGAATTTTTATTGATTTTCAAGACATTTCATCGAACGCAAAATTATTAATTTCCGATTCCACATTTACCAACAATACATCTGTGAACAATGGAGGTGCATTGTCAGTAGCTTTTGCAAATCTAGTTGTTTTTAGACGCTGTCAATTTACTTTCAACTCTGCAACAAGCAATGGTGGAGCATTATCCAAGCACAACATTTAATGCTCTACACATCAGAGTTTTCAAATAATACGGCAACGAATGGTGGAGCTATCTATTTATTGAAACCAGAAAATGATTTAATTGTGCCAAATTATAGCTTTGGTTATACCTCATTTCAAGAAAATACAGCCCATATTCATGGTGGAGCTCTTTACATGGGAACAGAACACTCTCATGTAGATGCTCATCACTTTTCTTGTACCTCAAATATTGCAAGGTATAGTGGAGGTTGTCTCTATTCCTTAAAATTCTTGGAAAATTGGGAAAGAGACTCTTCTTTCTTAAATAATATGGCTCTCGGTTATGGAAACTCGTATGGATATCCTCTGAAAAACTTGTCCTTCTCGAGTACAGTTGAATTTAATGATGGAAAGAAAGTATCGAGTGATGGATCGACTATTCCTGTCATGTCTGTTTATCCTGGAGAGAGAATAATGTCACTCTCATTGAGTAATATTCAAAACTTTGATGGAACTCGTGTGAAATTCCTGCGTACTCCTCTTTCAATTCGGTATGATGAAAGCATGACAAAAATTGAGTACCTAACCTCATCAAGGAACACAAGCAAAGTCGAAAGTATTTCAGTGAAACTTCCAAGTGACACTTTACCAAGTGTGACAATTTTAGCACATCTTCAGATTGATTCACGCAATGAAATACCTTTTCGAATCAAGATTTTGCCATGCCCGCCTAATTTTCATCTTGAAAACAGATATTCCATAGACGGATATATTTGTGTTGAAGATATTCCATTGCATGTCATTATTCCTGTCGTGGCCGTTGTCACATTAATTACTTTTAGCAGGAATATTGTCCTTGGCTTACACATGTCACAAGGTCATTCAAAAATTGAAAACATTGGAAAGAAAGCAACGGTATGTGTTAACAGTCAACATTACATGTCTTTTCTACAAAGTGCTGAAAAACAATTGGAGACTAATTTTATAAGAATGAAAACCTATTTTGAAGCAAGTTACTCGACCTCTCTGTTAAAGAATGATTTTCTTGAACGACGATCGGACGAAGAAACCAAATATTTGATTCCAGTCGAAGATTTGAAAATTATTAAGAAAATTGGTGAAGGTATGTTCATTTCACAAATTTAGAAATATATATTGAAATGATGTTTACATAAAAACTTGCTGTTTCTATTATTCAAACAACCAGGAGCTAATGGAAGTGTGTTTCGAGCCAATTGGAACGGCACTGAAGTTGCAGTAAAAGCTCTCAAATCAGATGTGACTTCTGAGGAATCGGCCGAATTTCAGAAAGAAGCAGCATTGTTGAGCACTCTTCGTCATCCAAATATTGTCAATTTTTATGGAATTAGCATTTCAGACTCTACCAAGTGTATGGTTGTGGAATATTTACCTATGGGAAGTTTGGATCGTCTAATTTATAATTGTAAACTTGGTAATCAAGTGTTGACGTTTTCACACAAGTTGGAAATTTTATTAGGGGTTGCCAAAGGAATGGCTTATATGCATTCATTGAAACCAAATCCAATTCTTCACAGAGATTTGAAACCAGCAAATATTTTGTTATGTGGAATGGATCATCATTTGATGAGTAAGGTCTGTGATTTTGGATTGTCAACTGTCATGGGCTGTTCCAATACAGCAACGACAAATATTGGAACATTTTTTTACATGGCCAATGTAAGTGAAATTCCATTTTCACACTATTTTACAAATCGATTTGCAATCATTATGTGGGAATTATTTTTTGAAGTGTTGGAGTTGTAATCCTGAATTGAGACCTGATTTTATTCAAATTATTGAGAGTTTGTCTTTGGTTTGAACGTTTTAAGCTCTGAATGGAACATCCAAACATTGAAGTGTGCATTCTGTAGAATTTGCAATGTGAAGCACTTTTCAAACTCAACCGACGCCATTTAATTCCATTTTCAACATGCGATCTTTTTAGACATGACTCAATTTATGAACAATGGAGACTTGCATTTAAAAAAGAGCATCATTGTATACTGTCCATTTGCCTGTGGTTGAGGTCTTGTAAAGCGATGACAAGGGCGATCAATTAGTATGATGATTTGTCATTTAATTGTTGACAGAATTTGAACAGTCGTGATGAGAAACATTATTGTACACAAAATATTTACATGTACAGTTAGCTGACATGCATAGTTTGATGTAAGTTTCAGCTCAATTCTACTTTCATTTTGGATGACAGATGTTGAAACTTTTATCCTAATATCCTGTCTACAAGATTCTCAAATTACCGCTAATTCTTCACACAAACAAGTCCATCTTTTGGCTTTATATGGAAGTACTTTCTTGAGGTATTTAGCTCATGCAAAGCTGTTCTTGTAGACCAAAATACGTATTTGAACCACAATGTCGTATTGTATGAATTAGGGGCCCATCCAGATTTCGTCAATGTTTGGATCGAAAAACATCAAATGGGAAGCCACGGCAGACGTTTCGTCGAAATTATTAGGCCGCAATCACAACGCCATTTTCGCTGCAGGTGTCAGAAGCTGTCAAATGCCATCCTTAAACGACAAGCACATGTGCAAACGGACATGCATTCTCGAAAAGGACAACAACTCCTGCACTCACAACCACACAAGACATCTCTGTTCAGAACATTACTTTCACCCTCTAGACACCACCACAAATTGCATCTCAACAAAAACAAAACAACGCCATCTCCTTCACGGTTGTTGATTGACTTTCAAACTCAACAAACACTCACAGAGACGAACCTTTCATACAAAGCGCCATTACTCTAATACCACCTAAACGTCATCAATCTTTCTTCGTGATCATTCATTACCATAGTTCTCTTGATGACGAACACAACCTCCTCTGTCATTCCAATTACCAATCAAGAGAACAGCAATCCAAGCAACAAATTCCACCATTATTCCTCACCTCGACCCAACATGTATGCATCTTTGACTCGATTCGGTGCATCTTCCCAGAATGTAAATCTCTCGAGTCATAGAAGAGAGGTCCTGCAAGAACCTACTACGGAATACCAACAAGAACAACCATTGATCCATGGAGCTCGTCCATACAAGATACCCATACGAGAGGAGTTTTCCTCACAGCCATACAATGAGTATTCATCTCCATCGGGTTGTACCGAGCATCATTCCTTCTACTCAACAAGTGTCATGTATCCAAGTTCAGGTTATGAAAGTCATCATGATGACAGAATACGGATGAGCAACAACGGAACATTGAATTATCCTAAATGCCAACAACAACAACAGGTATCGATTCATCCTCAGGAGGTGCTTGATGATGGAAAGAGATATCATCCCTATAATTCAGCTGAGTTGAACAGGACCCAAGAATACAATCCAACTCTCCATCGATCAGCCTCCTCATCCGCAAGAGCAAAATCAACAAGTCCATCATTGGGGAACGACATCCAACAAGCTGCAACCACAACCACCAGCAACACTCACCATCTTCCACCCTCTAAAATTGCAAAGAAGTCTTCCTCTTCCAAAAAGAAGGTCATTAAGAGAAAGTATCAATACAAACATTTGCTGGCAGCCGAGGCCAATAAGAATGGTAATTCCAACAACAAGTCATCATCCAACAATAATGGTGCCAGCAATCTTACGCCCAATACTCAGTACGTGTATGGTTTTGGATTGTGGGAGGGTGGATCCACCACACCTACAGCAACCACAACAACTTCATCCATTCAAAATCATCATGAACCCAATGTCCCTACTTTCCATATCAATCACTCAACCACCTGCTCTTCTCATCTCAAACAACAACGAGCTCAACGAAGAGCTGTTTCTTCCATCACCAAACACGAAATGCTCCAAGTGCTCCATCTGACTCAACAAAAGGCTTCTCAAATTCTCGGATGTTCTCTCTCAACCGTTAAGAGAAGATTCTACGAATTGAAAGATGAAATTGGATTGAACAAGTGGCCCCAAGACTATTTAGAATTGATGCATTTGGAGGTGTTTCAAAAGATTTACCCCATGTCCTTACATTTTATTTTGAATCATTCTTCGGAGGAAGAAGAAGAAAGGACAGTAAAGGAAAATGAAACTGTCCAGATGGCATCTTGCTCAAGTTCAGGCATGTCTACAGTCTCTTCGTCGAGGTCAACTCCCGTTCATGAGGAAGAATCAATGATGGCAACAAGTCTTTCGTGTAGAGTCTGACAATTTTCACAAGAACAAATTAACTGTACCTTCTCTTTATTAAAGCCAACCCGTGTAGCTTCATCTCAATTTCATTTGACAAAAACAAGGCGACTCAATTTGGACCTCAAAAGAGTGTGCCCTTCATTTTTATCTGGACTCTTGTCAAGTGCCAATTTAGCAGTCACTGAGCATAAGGGATGAACTGCGTCGATGGTCGAGTTCATTTGCGATCACTGCGATGTTAAAAGCGTCGCTCCTGTACTGTAACACTTCGTGTATTCAAAACATTTCAATTCCATTAACACTTGATCACAATCCATGGGGAAAATAACCTTTGAGAACACCAGAAACCCATCAACGATGCTCATAAAACCTTAACATGAGCTTCAAAGTTTTCACCCTCTCAATTAATGATTCGATGCCTTTGCTACTAACAAGTCTCTTTTCACAAATACAGATCCACCCGTCACACATCACATCAAGTGACACGACCTGCACTTCACACGCAGCAAATAAAAACCCACTTGTTTCGCTGTCATCATCCGTAAAAAAATTCAACAATAACACCAGTTATCATTTTATAATTCACACAACAATGATTTCCACCACTTCATCAAACTCCAAGTGGTTGGTGGCCTTGTTGTTGGTTGCCTTGTTCTCTGTGTGCACCTTTGCCATGGCTCAAGCAACCACTCAAACCGCCGCAACCGAAGCTGTAAAAGCAGTCCCAACCGTTAAACCAACTACGGTCGTGATCAAGAAAAAGCCTGTACTCGTGGCTAAACCAAAGAAGAGAAGAACCATTCGAAGACTCAAACGACGTGTTGCTAGAAAACTTAAAAGATGCCGTAAATTGGCAAAGAGAGCCAAGAAGTTGGCTGCTCGTGCTGCAAAGAAGGCTAAACTCGCTTCATTGAAGGCCAAAGTTGCTGCTGCTAAAAAGACCAAGAAGTCTCGCAAGGTTGCCAAGAGAGCTGCCAGAAAAGCAAGAAAGGTTGCCAAGAGAGCAAGACGTGCTGCTAAGAAGGCCCGTCGTTGTGCCAAGAGAGCTTCCCGTAAATACGGAAAGAAGGCAACTAGAAAGTTGAGAAGAAGAGCTAGAAAGGCTGCCAAGAGAGCAAAGAAGGCTGCTAGAAAGGCAAAGAAGGCCAAGAAGAGCACAAAGAAGGCTAGAAAGGCAGTCAAGAGAGCAGTCAAGAAGGCTGTTAGAAAGGCTGTTGCTGCTGTTAAGAGAGCAAGAAAACTCCTTCCAAAGAGAAAGAGAGTTGTTGTTGTCAAGAAGAGAAGATCTTGCAGAAAACTCAGAATTGCTTTGAAGAGATTGAGAAGAGCATTGAAGAAGAGAAGAGCTGTCAGAAGAGCAAGAAAGATTGCTAGAAAGATCAGAAGACAAAAGAGAAGAGCTGCTAGAAAACTCAGAAGAGCTTTGAAGAGAGCTAGAAGAGCCTCCACCAAGAAGGCCAAGAGAGCTGCTAAGAGACTCGCAAGAAGACTCAGAAAGGCTCTCAGAAGACTTGCAAAGAAGGCCAAGAAGGCAATCAGAAGAGCAAAGAAGCAAGCTAAAAAGGCAAGAAAGGTTGCTAGAAAGGCCAAGAAGATTGCTAGAAGAGTTAAGAGACACAGAAGAACTTGCAGAAGAGCTAGAAAGCCAAGAAGAGTTGTCAGAAGAAAGATTAAGCGTGCTTTGAAGAAGAGAGCCAAGAGATGCAAGAGAGCAAGACGTGCTGCCAAGAAGGCTGCTAGAAGAGTCAGAAAGCTCGCCAAGAAGGTCAGAAGACACCTCAGAAGAGTTGCTGCCAGAAAGACCAAGAAGGGTAAGCGTGCTGCTAGAAGAGCTTTGAAGAGAGCAAGACGTGCATTGAAGAGAGCTAGAAAGGCTGCCAAGAAGGCTGCTAAGAGAGCAAGAAAGGCCTGCAGAAGATACAAGAGAAAGGTTAGAAGAGCAAGAAAGATCTGCAGAAAAATCTCCAAGGCTAAGCGTGCCAAGAGAGCAAGAAAGATCAGAAAGATTAGACGTGCTTTGAAGAAGTTGAGAAGAAACAAGAAGAAGAAGGCTATCAAAAGAAAGCTCGTCTTCAGATTGAAGAAGTTGTACAAGTGTTAAAAACTTCTTTATCCCAACTCCGATAAACTGCTAACTGTGTAATTTAAATACATGTGTGTGGTTTATTTGTTCAATTTGTGTTTGTTGTTTTGAACTGTTCACCAAAAATTGCATTTAGCAGGATAACCTTTTTCACACAATTCAATTTTCTTCTTCAAAAACATCATCCTCCAATTGCTTCCATAAATCGTCATCTGCAAAGGTAATCTGAGAAGAAGAGGAGCTCTTTCTCTTCTTTTTCGTGGGTTCTTCTTGGTCTGCTTCCTGGGAGTTGTCAGTACCTCCACAACTGCCATCTCTCACTCGAACGTGACACACTTCAACATTGGCTCCAGCTTTGGCAAGCAAATCGATCCAAATAATTTGTTTCTCGCTAAGCTTGTCGTTAGGACCCTTAATTTCGCTCAGTAAATGTTCATGAGAGGCATTTGTTGTGTTGACATCACTCTTTTTCCAACAAACGAGGTCTGGAAAACCACTTCTGTTCTCTTTCATGTCCTCAGCAAGAGATTGAAGTATGGTACATATCACCTTAATTGGAAAGCATTCACAAATACTAATGAGGCATGTTAATTTTTGCGAAGGTTTTTCAGCAATGTCTATTGATTCAGAAGCTTGTGCTTCTTTTTGTGAAGTGACAGCTGTCTCTTGCTTGTTTTCAACAACATGATCCACATTCTCATCCAATACCTCGACAATTTCGTCATCATTTTCATGAGTCATGATCGTTGCATCTTCATCTGATAGCGTTGGATCCATATCCTTCCAATTACAACTAATTGCATTCGTTCCATAATTTTCATTCCAACAATTTGTCACTTTTTCAATCAAATACGTAGAACCAAGTTGTTCAATTTCTTCAAGTCGTTTCTTGAACTTGTCTCTTCTTCTCAAATAGAATGCATCAGTCATGAAATCAAGAGGACAAGATTGATACTTGTTTTGAAACACATAGGGTATGGATGAATCGAAAATAATATCCCACATCACTAACATGAATAACATGGCCCAAATAGAACCTTCACTATGAATACCTTCCATGGCATGTTTCATTTGGTAATGTTCCAGAGCAAATTGTTCCACACTCACCACTATTGTGAAAATTATTTCAATAATTCATTTCAAATATAAAAATTTGCAATGTGTTGTCCATGAAATGATAGATTTTTTGACCATCAATCATTCAATAATGGAATTGTTAGTGTTGTCCATCGCATACATCATCATCATCATTTAAAATGTAAAATACATGTAATTCATACTTGCCTGTTTCTTGATCCAAATGGGATATAAAGTGATTCCTCTTTTCTCCCTTTTTTCTACTTTCTAATTTCTTGACTTTTCCTTGAATGTATATTAACTTGGGAGGTTTCACATTGGTTGAAATAAAAGTTGAGATGAGACTGGAATCGTCAAGAGTTGAATATTTCTTGGGATCTGATTTTTGAAGTTTCTTACAAATTCTCAAATATCGTTTTTCAAGTGTACATCTCTTATTGGGAGGTAATCGAATGGATCCAAAAAATTCACAGCTGTTATTATCAGATAATGCAATTTTGCATGTTTCATATGCCTTTTCATAACAGTCCACAGTTTTTTGATGTTCATAATCGAGAGCAATACGATTGTAGAACTCTCCACGCTTACCTACCATAAACGGAGATTTCAGAATGGCATTCAAGTGTGAAATTGCAAGTTCGTATTGCTTGTGTTTTTCTAATAGTTTCGTACAGTAATGCAATATTCGAGCGTAGACATAGCCACATCTAAATCTCATGAGGTAATAATCCATATGTAGTGTGTTCGATGAAGAATCATTTGAATACTTCTTTCGAATTAATTCTGTGTCTTCTTCGAGTCTTTGACAAATATCTTTGGAAAATTCGACAAGTTTTTCCAATAGACCATCCTCATTGGCTTTCTGAATGGACTCTAAACGAGTTTCAATTTCGATAATTAGAAGATCTTGAGTATTTTGAACGTCACCACTCGATGGGTTTGCGTACGAGCTTTTAGTGCTTTCTGTGGATGGAGAGTCGAGAGAGTCAGCCCATGTGTTTGCAATTTCAAACGCTTCTTCATATCGTAAGAGGTCTTCTCTTGTTTCGAATAGGCTCTTTTGTTCTTGGACTTCATATTTTGGAAAAATAGTAATTTTCTTTTGTTCCAATATCATGATGGAGGCATTATCAGAGTTTTGTGATATAAAATAGAGATGGTGAATTCGTTTGAAAATTTTAGAAACATTCTTGTGGATCCTATAATACACGGGAGCAATATCCTTATTAGTACTTGAGGCTTTGTGGATTAATTTTAGTACATCTTGTGTACGTAAAAGTGTGGAGCTATTGGGTGAGGAGTTTGAAGATGATGTCATATTCTTCTCCTTGTCTTCGTCTTTACACTTGTCGTTCGCTGTAACTGTCTGTTTTTTGAAAAATCCACTCAGTTTTGATTGTTTTCCACTGCCTCCAGAATCTTTCAAATCAACAAGAGATTCAGGTCGTGTGATAATTTGTTTGATTAGATCAGATTTTGGAGACTCTTTGGATGATCTCTTTGAGAGTTGCTTCTTCACTACATTGCTTATATTTTTCTTGTCCAGTATGGATTTGAGTTGCTTGTTAGTGAACTCTCTCAATAATTCTTGAATTTCATCCATGGTCCAGTTATTAGAAAAGTTCTTACTGGAAGAGCTGCTTTCATTGTTGTTTTCCTTGTTTACATGAAGGCACTCAAAAAGTTCAGATTTTACGAGATGTTCGAGAGCATCTTTGATGTTCTCGCAGCACACAATTTGCATATTGGCTTCGTCACTATTCACCCACGAGGACATGATATCTTCCTTTTCTTTTTCAATTTCTCTACGGTATTTTTCTAGCTCAGTGATTGTGAAATATTTTTGTTTTCTATTAAACAAACGAATAAATAATCGTTGTGACGCTTTGCATTGATTTTTAAAGGCCTCAATAATTTTCTGCTCTTCCTCAATAAATAAATGTCCATCTCTTTTCGTGACTGTTTCTAAAATCTCCAAGAAATGGTACAAATAATAGCTTCTTACTCGATCCTCTTCAAGTTGTTCTTGTTGTTGTGAAAATTGTTGTGAATTGGATTGTTGAGATTCAACTCCACTTCGATCGGAATATAAAGATTGAGAGTTTTCCTCCAAGTCGACAGAGTCCAACGATTGCCTCGTCTCCATCATGGATGACAACTGGCTATTGACCGAGATGCTTGATGCCATTTCTTCGTCTATCGTTTCCATACTGAGACTACTCATACTGCTCGTAGATAATCGATGAGAGCGTTTATCGGAATAAGTACTTTTGGCATTCAATAGCTCATCATCACTGTCAATAATCAGTGCCTCTTCCAAAGAGTTTCCTTTCACCTTTTTAAACTCCTCTTCTTCCAAACTATCAGTGTACAAGCTTGGAGGCTTCATCTCACCCGATAAGCTTCTCTTCTTACCTTGTTGTTGAAAGAACGAAAGAATGGTCGCATTTGATTTCGGAGAGGCTTCTCTCGGTGAAGATGATGATTTTGAATTTTTGCTAGAGCTTGGTGTTGTACTCTTTTTCTATTCCGATGATTATTTTGTTTCTCCAATGATGATGATACTGATGATGATGAAGATGATGAATTTCGTTTCTTCTTGTGATTACTGGAAGTGTTTTTGCCTGCACTGGTATTTTATTCATTTTTTTTTGTCCACTCTTCTCTTTCCCCTTCAACCTTTATGTTTATTGAAAGATCACATGAATAATAAAGTTGATTAATGCAGTCGTTCATCAACTTTCATTATAAAATCACAACCGGGGAAATTGAACGAACTCGAAAAAAAAAAATTGTTCTCTCAGAAAGCCTTTCATCATCATTGGTATCACGGAATAGGCTTGATTTTCTCGCTCTCTCTCTCTGTAATTTAAAAACGTTGTGATTTTATCATTGGAATCATTTGTGGATCCACTACTATTTATTTTCATTCATTTGGATCCAAAGAGATCATTCCGCTAAGCGGTTTTGATAGTATCTGTTATTCATCATCTTCGAGAGCAAAGAACCCGTTGCTGTTTGCAAATTCTAATTTTCATTAAAATAGTGATGGTCCGATTTACAAATTTCAAATCCTCTCCACAACCCAAAGAATCTCACAAATATGAGATGAGTGGAGTTTTGTGTAAAATGGGAGAGGTCAACAAGTCATGGAAGGAACGATTTTTCATATTGGAAGATGATAAATTATTTTACTACAAGAATAATGAAGCAACAAAAGCAATTGCATACATTCCATTGAATGATGCCTATGTACGAGTGTCGCCAGAATTTTATCCCAAGTTGGCTTGTTTTGAAATTGTGACTGCACAGAGAATTTATAAATTGCAAGCAGCAAATTTTGAATTGATGAAAACGTGGATTCACCATTGTCAAACATTTAGCAAGATTAGTATGGAAAATGAATTGATACGGCAAGCTGACATTCAGATATGTGCTACTGAAGCTGCTTATTCAAAAAAGTTATTGGAAGAGTTGCATTTCGAACCCATGCCTTTGGACAATTTTTATTTTGTTTGCAAATATGAGGATGATGATAATGATCTCTTAGAGGGTGTCACGACGACTCCATTGGAAGTAGAAAACTCGAAAGAATCCAACATTACCAATGCCACAAGAACTAGACATAGATCTGCAGCCATGAATTTATCCTTTAGCAGTCAATTGTCACACTTGATAAATTCAGAATCCTCATCATCATTGAATGCAAGTAGCAGTGTCATAATATCCAATGATGAACAAGAATTCGTAGAAGACATGTTACCTAGTACTCCACAAAACAAAGCCAATGTTTCCATCAACTCCACTTCACCCTCCTCTGATTATTCTGTCCCTCCCACATCCTCACTCATGCAGTCATCCTCTCTTCTTTTATCTTCCTCACTCATTGAGGGCAAAATCAAGAATTAATACAGCGAATTGATTGGCAGTAACTGTCTCACTTGATGAAAATTAATATTTGTTTAGCGTGCAAGCTACAAGTTCACACTTCACCCTCTGTCATGAAATTTTCACGATCCATAACACAAAAAATGTCTTCACAACAAGAAACGACACTATCACTCTCCTCCAACGGATCGTACCAACATCGTCAGCACGAGGAGGACCAACCACATTCATCATTCACTAATTTTCAAATTCTAGGAAAATCCTTTCAACACTTGGATCATCTCTCTCTTCTACAACAACCCATTCGACAAGTTTCCATCGGGTTCGGTCACGTCATGATTCTCTGTGAGAATGGAAAACTGTATTGTTTTGGTAGAAATGATTGTGGACAATTGAATTTAAGCATTGAAAGTAATCCTTCCAATAGTAACATTTATGGAGACACATTGGATATTATGAAGTTACGCCATTGTTTGGGACCAACCACCACCACTCGTGTCCGGTTCCTACGAACGCAAATTCATTGACTTGTTCCATGTTGATAAAATCTAGTGTTGAAAATAACACTGGAAATAACACTGGAAATAACAATGACAATACACTTCCTTCTCTATCGATTCGATCGGTTCATTGTGGAGCTCTACATACCATGATTTTATGTGAAAATAATATCATTTATGCGTGTGGAAGTAATTCGAATGGACAAATAAGTATGCCTGCACAAGTAGCACTTGCTTGTGGATCGGAGATTGAAAAATTTACTCGAGTGGATTTGAGTTCGTGTCCATTATTGCAAATGCCTTTTTCGTCCATGAATGCAACAACAACACCCATGAATCGAATTAAGAAATTGCATTGTCGTTTTTCACATAGTGGGATTTTGAGTGAAAATGGAGAGTTGTATTGTTGTGGAAGGTATGTGTAACAATCTGCATGTTGAGAATTTTTCATATCGATGGATTGGCATTTGACATGGATGACATGAAACTTTTTTTCAAAATTCAATACTATCGATTGGCATTTGACGTGGGAATGCATGAACCTTTAATAATTTTAATTCAACATTCATAATGAATGTTGAACTTTGTGACATTCCTTATCATATACATAATTATTTTGCACTTGTCGATCATTTCCTCTTCCAGAAATTACGACTTGGAATTAGGAATTCCCAAAGAAGACAAAGTATTGAAATTCACCCAAGTGTTGAACATTCCCAAAATGAAACATTTTGATTTTGCTTGGAAATACATGGTTGCCATCAGTGTTGACAATGTCATTTATTCCTCAAAATATGGAATTTTAAAAACCGTGCGAGATGAAAATGGAAATGAATTTTTTTGTCGATACGAAAAGAGTACTCCCAATTCCTTTGGAGATATCATCAAACTAGAATGTGGCAATGAACACACCATGTTTCTCAATTCAAGACATGAATTGTATGGATTTGGATATTCAGTCGATGGTCAAATTGGTGTCAATAGTGTTGTCAAGGAAGTTATTCGAATTGCTTTGAATCAACTCAAATACGATGTCATCCATGATTTTACATGTGCCTATAATCAGTCGTGTATTATCACAAAGAAGGGCTATCTGTATGTGTCTGGCTTGTGGGATTTTACGGGTCTTTCTGCAAACCATGATGACGAGGATCCTGAAGCGAACCAAGTGATTCTGAACTATCAGAAACAGAAACCACCAGTGAATGTCTTTCAATTTACAAAATTACCAATTCCCAAGAAACGCTTCAATTCGATTTCTATGGGAAATGAAATTGCATTTCTATTTCATAGGTAGGTTATACATTTTCAGAGAATGAGAAAAATTCAAAGAATTTCTCCACATGACGACCAAGATATGACAATGAGTACGAATATGAAAAACAGTTGAAATCCAAACTATTCTATCAATTGAAACATTACAATAGCATCACGAATCATAGCAACAGTGAAGAACATCCTCATTCGTTGTTTGATATTGTCATGATCACACACGTGTGAACTCGTTACCTTCTAACATTTGAGCATCTGTAAACGCTACAAGTCTTGTACAATTTCACACAAAAGAAGAAATGCATTTTCGCGTAATATCATAACCAATCGCATTACACACAAGTACTGAATTTCCATGTTTGCTTTGAACGTGCGCACGACCTGCGACAATGAGAGACATCAATTTTGATGTTTTCCAATCACCTTCGTGTGAGATGCTTAAAATCATCATGCAACTACGCTGTGACAAGTCAATTGAAGATTATTCTGTGTAACGTCGTCGACAAGAAGGTTTCATGATCTAATACCCATCACAAACGACTTGTCTTTTGTGAACAATAAAGACGTTCCAAACATGCATCTCACCCGTTCAGGTTTTATCACGATCAATCTCCGGTTTGTGCTCAAATTTCAAAAATGGTAAACTGGTCAATCAAGAATAAAGCCATCAAAAAGAGTATGAAACCGACCAAACGCCACACTCTTTGACACGAGTTTCAACTGTCGATGGGTGTTGGTCCACCCATTCAAATAATTGTTGAGCCTCCAAACAAGAAAAATCCTTCATTAAGAACTACCCACACACTGCTTTCCGATAGGCAAACATAGCTCCAGCTTTGTGACGCGGTGTCGTACTATCTAAATTCTTCCACTCAACATTTAAATGACGCACAACAACTCAATTATCGAATATTCTTTGAATCATTTCCACTCAAAGAGAATGCCTAAAGACCATAGCATTGAGACCAATCATGATTTTTCTTCATCTCTCTATTCGTCGACGACCACGTCATTACTTTCAGGTCCAACAACAGCATCAAACACAATTCAGACAACGATAGAAGTGCCATCACTCAACCCAGAAACAATCCCATCCAACTCTAAAACGACGACGACCGATCTCTCAGCTGCAGCAATCATTCTCCTAAATCTGGTTCAAAATCTGTCGTTAGAGGTGTCAGGGCGTCCATCATACCAAAGCCACAACATGCTAACAAGCCAATGCGATTCATTCATGTCAGTGCCAACATGTGTGTAAGGAAGCACAAAAAGTCATCATCGAAAAAGACCTCTCCAGTGACAAATCTTGCCATGACAGCCCCATCAATTTTGAAAGCCTATGCCAATCATTACACTTCAACAAACTCACAACTCTCTGAAGAGCAACAAAATGAACAGGAGCACAGCATGCAGCTTCGCAATTCAATGTATGACACTTCCCAATACAACCATGAACATACACTACTCAATCATGACACAATGTACCATAACAACAACAGCAACAGCAACAACCACTCAAATTCGACAATAACTTCATCTCATCCAAACCATGAGTTGCATCATGTGTTGGACGTGACGAATCCTCACAACACCCACGCCATGTCGAACAAAATGGTTCGTGCAGGCTCCTCTTCATCCATAAATGCATGTAACGACCGAGTTGGTGCATGCAAAGGTGATGATCATGGTACCCTACAACAGCCACTCACAACAAATAGAAGAGGGTCAATCGCGTCATCGACATCAACTGCTTCAAATGCATGTATGGAATGTACGAGCACGAACCAACTCGTCCCATCGTCACCGCATGCATCCTCCAACAACATGATGATCAAGAATGGTCGAGTTTGTTCTCCATCCACCTTGTTGCATTCAAGTAACAACAACCATGCATGCACTTCACAAATTCGCTTTGTCATGGAAGACAACTTTGCCAACACAGCACCTCCAAAAAAGCGTAACATTCTCACAAAACATCAAATCATACGAGTGTTGCATTTGTCTCAAGCTCAAGCTTGTAAGATTTTGGGATGTAGCATCTCTACCTTAAAACGAAGATTTGGAGAGCTGAAACATGAGCTGGGCATGGAAAAGTGGCCAAGCTATTTTGATGATGTTCGACATTTACCTGTTTTTCCTCAACTCTATCCCATGTCTTTAAGTTACATTTTGAATGAAGAGAATGTGAGTCCTTAATGTTCCAACAGTTTGTCGTAATATGAAATTTGAGTTCCTTTTTAAATTAAGCTATACTTACTGTTTGTGATTCAATAGCTGTACAAACATGAGTACCGTTTAAGATTTTCTTAAGCTTAAGGCATGACTAAAAAACAGGTAACATGAACATCATTGTTTGTTAGACGCAGCACGCTCCTATCGGATCATACTAAACAGCCCTATCAAACATCATCAAACTCGGACAGCATGGATTTCCCACACGAAAAATTCGCTCTTAGGAATGGATACATTTGGATCATCATCATTAAAAAATTGGTGCATGCGAATTTTTCAGCGCGTTTTCAACCTTGATTGACCGTTGTTCATTTTTTTTGAAAAAAATTCTTCAAAAAATTAGAAACACCATTCAAGATGGACGCAGCAAAACCAAACTGCAATTGCAACAAGCCTGCCCAAGTGAGCACAGTGAAGAAAGATGGTCCAAATCATGGTCGATTATTTGCTACCTGTACGACTCGGGATTGTAAATATTTTGAGTGGTTGGATGGAAACAAGAAGATGACTCCAACTTCTTCTTCGTCATCATCAAATAATTTCAATTTTGGATTAAATTCATCATCATCGGGAAAAGTTTCATCATTCTCCGATCAAAATGATGGTAGCAAATCAACAATTCCGAAATGCCAGCACAATCAAGATGCAATGCTTTTGAGAGTAAAGAAGGTAAGGTTAAATATTAATTTGTGCTCTAATTCCACGCTTTTCACAATTAATTTCTCATTAAATTGGATGAATCTTTTCTTTCGATCAAATGAATCAACCACAATTAAATTGAACATATCCAGGAAGGCCCAACCAAGGACGATTATTTTGGACTTGTGCCAACTCACAATCTGACAAGTGTTCCTTCTTTTCATGGTTTTCTGGAAAAGAGGAAGACTTTGAACACTTGATTGGTGTGAAACCAACAACTTTAACCACGAAAGAGACATCATTCGAAGTGACTGAATCAGAAAAAAAGAGAAAACTTAAAGATGAGACCAACCAAGAGGATCATTCTGACGATGACACTCCAGAACCATCATCAGTTGCAGTGGAGGAGCCACAACGTAAGAAAATGAAAGAGACATCAGCTGATGTTGTCGTCAGTAGTAGCACCAGTACTATTCAATCATCTTCCTCGTTGTCATCCGATCCAAACACACCCTTAATTGAATATTTATTGGACTCATCTTGGAAATCAAACTGGAAAACGAATTTTCCAAACCCTATTTCCAAAAATTGGAAAAACTGTGAATAAGCATTACAAGGAAAAACCCAAGCAGATATTTCCAAAGAAGGAGGAGATTTTCTCTGCACTGAATGCTTGTTCGTTTGACAATGTCAAGGTTGTAATTTTAGGTCAAGATCCCTATCCTCAATGGTATGCCCATGGAATGTCTTTCTCTGTGAAAAAAGGCATTACAACACCCAAGTCCTTACAAAATATTTATGCCGAGTTGGAACAAGATGAGAATTTAACACCCAGGTTCACACAACCAAATCATGGCTACTTGATGGGATGGGCACAACAAGGAGTGCTACTCTTAAATGCAGTGTTAACAGTCGAGAGTGGAAAATCCAATGAACACAAAGGTATTGGATGGGAACAATTCACAGATGCCATCATCAACAAGCTCAAAGAAAAGAAAAATATTGTTTACTTGCTATGGGGAAAAGACGCACAAGAAAAGGGATCAAAAATCGACCGAAAGAATAACTTGGTCATTCAAACTTCCCATCCTTCTCCATTTTCTGCTAATAAGGGATTTCTTGGATCGAAATGCTTCTCCAAATGCAATGAATATTTAACAAACAATGGGCTCACAACAATTAATTGGAACAAGTTATAATCCTAAATGATCCTCCCGTTTAATTAGGATCACGTTAATGAGAAACAAGTGAGTATGACGCTCATAATTGTAACCTGTTTTTTATGGTGATTGATATGCCATAAATCAACTTAAAAGTAATGGATAACATTTGATTTCGGTACAATGGAGTGACAAGCAACAACTTTACTGCACTTCTCGACACTTCATCATTTAGCCTATCGAGAAGAGATATGTATGCATGTCGATACGTGATGGCCAATTCAAGAACTTTTCCATCCAATGGGAAATTATGTTGAAAACAGAAGGTCATGACAACTCTATCACTTGAAAAGTGCGAGATCAGAAACACTTATTATTGATCCTCATTTCAAAATGTAATTTTTTATGCCAAATCTCGACACCTGACATTCCGCAAATTCTAGTTGCCCATTTGTGCTATCCAATACATCAAGAAACATCTCTTTTATCCTCATCTCTTGAAATGCACATCAAAACCACGCCTTTAAAGGTGATGATATGAGCACACATGGAGCACCAAGCTATCAAATTGCAGTTGAGAACTTCTTTAAAGGACATGGTGTGTATATCATACAGAGTTTGATGTCTCTCAATTGTTCATGCCACACATAGTCCATGAACTAATCAAACAAAAAACAACCATAACCAATGACTACTACCACCACAACCGCCAATGACAATATCAACAGCAACACTACCTCGTCCCCGCTATCCTATACATCCCTGAACACTCGAGTGCCAAATGTCAACAAAAAATCAAAAACCCTCATTCAAGGGATTTCCAAACAACGATTCCTAGCTCTCAAACCACGCCCTTCACAACATGCTTCCATCACCTTTATACAAAATCAATACGAAGAAGGTATTGGTATCACATGTGTCAATTTCCAACACAAAAACGCAGCCAAACACATTTCCAAACATGACATGATCAAAGTATTGCATCTCTCTCAAATACAAGCTTGTAAAATTCTCAATTGTTCCATGTCCACTCTGAAACGAAAGTTTTATCAAATGAAAACAGAATTGGGATGGACAAGTGGCCTCAATATTTTCAAGACGTGAGACATTTACCAATTTTCAAACAAATGTATCCCATGTCTTTGAATTTTATATTGAATCATGATGAACAGGAGACTAGCACGAATCATGAAAGGAACAACAACGAAGGCACGATCAGGAGTGAGAATGATAACATCACGAGTCAAGAAGGGAGGACAGAACATCCTCATTGGATCCAGTAAGGCAGAAAATTAATGGATTACAAAAATTCTTTTCTTCACAGGCAATAAAGTCAAATAGGACTCGTCTCATTCCCTGTTTTAATAATGTATTTAATATCCACTCGTTACTGGAAATTAGGGGAATAGAATTACAAAAAAAATGAAACGAGGAAAATGTACAGAGAATTTGAGAAATCTTTATGATGATCGCACGAATGATCATGAGATTGTTTCGGATTTACCATCACACCACATTGGTCATAAAAAGACAAAACTTGATTCGGAAGAACAAAAACAACAACAACCATTACCTCCAGAGAAAAATTGTGGTCTTCTCTCTTTACTCTCCAGAGATGAGATTGGAATAGTTTTAGAATTTCTGTTTCCGGGTCAGATACTCATGATAAGCCTTTGTTCCAAATGGTGTTATTCATGGATTTGTTCGGTGGTTAAGGAAAAATTCTCCAAGTATGCTATTCAAGGTCCTACTATGGAGATGAACTCTATTGAGGATGATTCGGATTCAGGAGAGAGTAGTAGTAGTAGCAGTAGTAGTAGTAGTATGAATGATGAGGATGAGGATGATCAAATTTCGGGTTGGGCACTTACGCGAGCAGTGAGAGGTGCCAAACGTCTTTTCATCACACTTGAAAACATCAACCTCGTGAGACAAGTTGTGAATGAAATTGCGGAGCGTGATGGTTCTCTATGTGAATTATCGAAAAGATTTGAGTTTGGTAGCGTTTGCAATTCAACCAAGATTTATGAAATTTTGAATATTCGCAAAGCATGTCATGAGAACTCGACAAAGGTTGTTAAAACAATGGTGTGGAAAATGAACAATGATTTGGAGAAGAATAGTTCTGACCATGATACTTCATTTAAGGAAATTGAAACAAAATCAGTTCCTATTGGTTTTGGGCTGAAAGAATTATCATTCCAAAACGTGGAACTCAGAAGAGAGCATCTGTTTAGAATCTTGACAAAATGTTGTGAAATTGAAAAATTAGATTTGTGCATTTCAGAGCCTCAAAGTCGACGTGGAAAGCCACCCCGCATCGAGGAAGAAGAAGATGAATTTTTTAATAAGCAAGAGGGTCATATATTTATTCCAGTATTTGAGACCCTTAAATCTTTGACATTGAATGCACCATATTACTACGATGAAGCTGAAAAATTTATGTTTGACATTTTAACAATTTGCCCACGCTTGGAAGAGTTGTATTACACTGTTAATAGTGACATTTATAACTCGTTTATTATCCAGCTTGCAAAATTGTGCCCTAACCTCAAGAAAATCCAAATTTTATGCAACGATGACTGTTCATCAGAACTACAGGTCACAGACGAGGGTTTATATGAATTTTTGAAGCTATTACCCCAACTTGAATATGTGTCGTTTCATCCTTGCAGTAACATTCGAGGTGAGATTTTTAAAAAAATTGGCGAGTTTTCACAATTGAAATATTTTAATATCACTCGAGGTTCGTATGACCAACCAGTACCCCTAGAAAAGGATATTCATTTTGGAGGTGGAACTCTTTCCAAACTTGAATGCATTGATTTTGGAAGCAAGGAATACTCCTTCAACACAAGTGAGGAATTTGACAAATTTGTTACCACTCTCCGATCTGTGGCTCCTCATTTGAAATATTTGGGAGATCTTTTGGATATTGACGTGAGCATGGATGATAAGAAAAAAGTAGTCAACTCTTTTCCGATACTCTTACTGATTTAGATGTAGGCTTTACGGTAAACCATTTAGCACCAATTCTGCCTAAAAATCTTACTTCCTTGCGCATGAAGATTAATGATGAATTTGTGAGCCAAAATGTGCTAAATCAATTACAGCCCAATCACAGCCTTAAAAAGCTGAGCATTACTGTTGGTCGACAAATTTCACCAGAAATCATTGTGGCAATTATTGAAAAATTGGCTGTGGATATTTATCCATGTGTGACACATCTCGAATTTTACTCAACAACAAAGCAAAAAAAAGTTTCAACCAATCCGCATGGCGAGATCTTGGATACTGTTTTAAGCAATATCAAAATTTGGCCAAATTTGTGTTTTTGGATGGGGAGGTATTGTCGATGAACAGAATTTTAGCCGTTCGACCAAGGCTTAGATTTTACTCTATGTGGGACAATGATTTGAATTTTGACGACAATGTTTCCTTGTTCTATTATCAATGGTTGGTCCTTGATCAACCCTTTGAGGAATGGTGACTTTCCAAGTATTTGTTTTAGAGGCGATAATTATCAAGATGTTACAATATTATTTGGAAATGTTTCAAATAATTTATTAAAATACAATCTCATCCTCTTGTTTTACAATTAATGTTCTTCTTGTTGAATATTATTATTTGATAATACTCTTAAAGAGTTCAAATAATTCTTTTCAAAGGATTGAATCAGATGTGAGTACGACTTTTCCATCTCCTTTTGAAATGCTTACTCTCTTCATAGGGATTGTCAATGGTCGAGAGTCGAGGATTATATTCAGTCTCTGGTTGTGTCAAATTTGATGATACGTTTGGACCAAGTTTCACTCCTTCACGCACCTCATTCTGATATTCATCAAATAATTCATATTCTTGAATGAGTCTCTCACGTAACTTGTCTTCTCGTGTCAACGTTGAGGCCAATGTAAATTCATCTTCTGTGAACACATTGAGAGAAGAATAAATGGAATAAATTTCAAACAAATCAGTCCAATCGTCTCGTTCTTCTTTTGTTTTAACCAATCCCACAAGAATTAAAGGTTCCATCACGTACAAGTAATCTCCTTGTTCGACTCGAATTTCAAACAAATAATATTGATTTTTGTAATATCGAACTTGACGTTTTTGTTGTTTCAAAATGACAGTATCAAAACTTCTTTCTGTGGGAATGATACTATAAGTGACATTTTGATTCCATGAAAAGGTGTGTTTCACAGGAGAGTCTTTGGTCGATTTTTCAAATATCGTCACCACTTCATTCTTGCATGACATGAATCGTTCGACAAAAATGTCATTTGGTTGAAAGATTCTTCCATGATGGTTGAAAAATTTAAATCTCCACTACTACTACCTCCACCACCACTCGAATAATGTGAACTATTTGAACCACTACTTGAACTATTATTTCCCACCAAATTCTGACCAGAATTCAATGGAGAAGCATACGACAAAGAGGATGTCTTTTTTGGTTTGATTTCCTTTTTAAAAAAATACACACTTCCTTCCTTTTCAAATAAATGTTGAGCTTGGAATGTTTGTGACTTGTCTTGAAACCATTGATTGAAATTGGATTTTTGACGAGATTCTAAATCGAGTTGATAATTGTTGGCTCGTTGTTGTTGAGAAGTGTTCGAGGACGAGTTATTATTTGATGTGGAATTTTGTGAAGATTTTTGAAGTGTGGTCGAATGTTGATCGAGAGCGTCGATGGCAGAATCTCTAAAAAATTCATCGGATTCAGTTCCTGAATTAAATAATCGATTGGTTTTCGATCGATTCGAATGTGAGGATGTGACACTTGATTTTCCATCCGTGTTGGAAAGATTCAATCCAAATATTTTCGAAATAAAAGTAGTGAGCTTTCGAGATTTTCCAAAACTGGATCGTTTCGAAAGATGATCTTGATCGTTATTGAAATTGGAATCTTCATTTGGAAAGGATGGAGAAGAAGAAGTAATCACAGGAGAAGAGGAGTTGGTGTCATTGCCACCTGTCATCATGACATGTTGTTGATGATATACTTCTTCCCATGTGGAAAATTCAGACATGACGCTATGTTCAGCATGACTTTCAGAATTTTGTAATGAAGAAGAAACGGATGAGGAAAGAATGGGTGAATTTCCAAAAACCGAAGCTCCATGATGATGTGTAGAAAGAGAATTTTCCAAATGATTTGAATTGACATTTGACACATGTTGTGAATGTTGTGGTAATAATAATGGAGAAATTAGAGGAGAGGCTTTGAGAAGAGTTTTTTTACGTTTTCCTCCAGAACTCGAGTTGGTGGATTGATTTTCATTGCTTGTTTGAGAAGATTTTTCTTGAATGAGTGAATTGACACGTGACAGACCCGAGTTGGCAGGAGGAGAATTTCTTGGATAACTACTCGAAGGAGATCGATTCAATGGAATGGGAGAAGACCTATTGTTTGTTGAAATTGTTGTTGAAATTGAATCGGATGATGATTCGGTATTATTTTCAGACGAGGGAGTTGGAGGTGTGAACATTTTTTTTGTTTGGAATTGAAAGTTGATGATTAAGAAAGGGTCAACCTTGATGGAATTATCGAACAACAAAAACAACAACAACTACTCCAATAGTCCATCCAAGTACTTGGTATTATTTCCAATGCCAGTGATTTGTAGGTATAAGTATGAATTTGTATCATCTTTGATCCACACCACTTGATCTATTTTAATAGTTGCATTATGATGATCATGACCCGAGAACAGAATCTCTTTTGATATTCGGATTCTCTCTCGACGAATAATTCAACCTCCAGAGCTCTTGGGCAAAGACCATTTTTTTTTTTCAGTTAGGGGTGATTTAATTGATAGACTTTCATCGACCCTCAGAAACAAGTTCTTGTTTTAAAAAAAATTCATCCTCACATTTCCTTTGTGTTTTATCCTATTCTTGCTTTTTACTTTAAAATGAACGCCACTACTGCATTTCGGGCTCTTGTTTTGAAGAGGCTTGATATCGTTGCTGGTACTGAAAAGAAGTACTCTAAGAAGATTGATGTGTTGTTGGCTTGCTCTCCCGTGAAACAATTTCAAGCAGGTTTGAAAAACACTGTTTATATTCCTTCTGCTGAAGAAATCTCATCCAAATCATGGCCTCAGTTGGTGGAGAGTTTTCCCTTTGTCCAACAAGTTGCATCGGTCTTGGAGAAACGGAACGTCCTTGTTGAATTTGTCAAAGGATTGGTACGAGGACAACATCCTGATGAGGAGGGATTTGCTAAAGAGTTTCTCGATAAATCTCCAGATATCCAAACTTGCTACGATCTACTGAGAAGCAACAAGTTGGAAGAAGAGCTCAAGAACATCATGTTCAAAGCCATATTGAAAGATACGCCTGTACAGATGTTTCTTGATGATCTCTTTTCTGAATTCAAAGAAGAAATTATCAAGGAAAACCTTTCATCTGCTTCGGTTATTGAGGCTGGGCTTAAGAAAAAAGGGATGCAAACAACACCATTAGTCGTCTCCCTTGCTTTAAGCGTAGGTGCGGATGGCTTAAAGAGGTTCTATGAGAAGAGCAAGCACTTTAAGTTGTGGCAGACAATGTTGGACGAGAACTCTCGTCTAAACCAATGTTGCGCTATTTCGAGATTTAGATCAGAAGCTGACAACATTGAAGTTGCACAAACACTACTCCAAGCTACTCGTGAGGCAGTGGCTGAAGAGTATAACGAACTTGTGTCCAAACATTATCAATCAACGCTTCTCAAAAAGGAGGCCCAACCAATTCCATCCTCAACAAAAAAAAAAGCGATGACCAAAACACCCACTCCACAATCATCCAACAACAAGATTGAAATCACTTCAGCTTCATCGCCTTCCTCTCAACAATCATCCAACAACAAGATTGAAACCTCTACTGCTTCATCATCCAACAACGTGGAAACAAATACATCGCCTCCTTCAGCAACCATCCAACGTTGAAGCATTGGCCGTTTCTCAAGAAAATATGGCTGATGAAAAAATGTCGGTAGATCAAATATACAACGCCTTAATCAACAATGATCATAAGGCAATGGCTTCGTTCTATTTTTCTCTTTCCGACTTGCCTCAACAAATTCGTGGCTTAAATGAAACACTGACAAAAATGGATGCGAGAATCACAAACTTGGATATGAGAATGACAAACTTTGAAAAGAGAATGGAGAAGGAGATGAAAGAGATTCGTGATGACTTACGAATTATTAATACAAACATTGGTTGTTTATATGAAGGTCAAGTGAAACTTCAATTCCAAAAAGATGACGAATTTATAACTCACAATCCAACAACCACCACCAACAATGCAACTTCCAACAATCAAAGGTCCTTACTCCCAATCAATTCTTTCAAAACTTTCACTCCACTTTCTCCCAATGACTGTTAATGAAGGATCAAGTATTGAAAAGGTTGCGGAAAACGCAACCAACTTTCCATCGACAACAATAATGTGATTGCTATTGAAGAAAGGAAACATGGATCAACCCACCCGCATTGCAAAATCCCCCACTGTTGCCAAACATACTGTTTCAAATTCAATGGATGGACCTTGGGGGAATTTCACAACAAGTTCAACAAAATCCACTGTCAACAAGACGAAACATGCAGGTGATTCCAACGTTGTCAACATTTCCCCTAATAATATTAATTGAATTCGATTCGCGCAAGTTGACTCTACAATGTGGACGTGACCTTGAAGTACCAGCTCCTCAACTCTTTTATGAAAAATTCCTTGCTTTCATCAAGTCGACTTAACATGCAACCTCAACCACTACCACACACTTACCTTGTACTCCACGACGAAATGATAACCTATCCTCGAACTCTAGATCATCCAACCTTGCGTCCACAACCACCACAAGCTCATCTGTTGTGACCGCTGCAACTACTGTTGCGTCTACCAGCACACACAACAAAGGCCTTTTTGACCACTCTATTAGACACAGCAACAAGAAGATCAAGACTTCCATTTACAACTCCTTGGCTCCATCCAAAAAGAAATAAATATATATATTCTGATACTTTTTTCATCAATTAGCAACCTTTAATCAAGGTGTCATCGAACCTCCTTCACCTGTGTCATTGAACGCAAGCCTTACATTCATTTTACCGCCTCAATTCATTACATTCCTAGAAGAACAAATCTTACCGCTTAATTACTACAAAAGCATTTAAAAGCCTTAAATACGTGGAGTGTGTGCTGTTAGGAATATCATCATCAAATAAAAAATCAACACATCCAATGCATTTCAATTGCGTGGCATGCAAATTCCAACACAACAAGCAACAACAAGTCTCTTCTAAGTCAGCCTAACATTGACTCATGTTGTGATTCATATCCAGGTATCGATGTGTGATTTTGCCTTTTGAGTCCTATTTCTCGCCATTCCTATGAATGCACATTTTCGTAAGTATGATGGTTTCAAAGTTTAACGCTGAGACAATTTTGGACTCTCATTTTAGCATGAGAGAGTTTCATGACGGAAAGAAAATTTTGAGGTCAAGTAAAAGAGAAATAAACCTCAAGAAGGGTCATGGTTCAGTGAAAATGGTTACATTAACAGATTTTCACCACAATCGATGAATTTATTGATTACTGATAATGATGTCTTTCAATGTGTTGAGCAAGAAGTACAAAGCAACGGGAGCTGTAGAAATTTTCGAAGCTACTATTTCGTCATTTAGTAGCGATGAGAAATTGTTGACGAAAATGATACAATTAGAACGTCAAATTATGTTCTACAAGGAATGTTTCAAAAACACCATCATCAGTAGAGTTGGATTAGTCTCACCTAGCAACTTGACACTCCAAAGAGTGAAGCAGGTTATTGAAAACCATAACGGCCTCTTTGTCAACATTCAATCTTTCGTCAACAACAACACTTTTGACATCATCAGAGAAGGACACAAGCCTGAAATTGATTAAAACCAATATCTACGCTTAATAAAGTAAAGGGGAAGAATAGTTCAATTGTACAACTTATTTGTCGCTCGTAAAAACTTGAATCTTTCCTCTTGTTCCCAAGATGAGAGTGTGGCCATTTGTTGTTCTTGACGCTTTCGATGACGTAATAAAAAAAAGAAAAAAATGATCACTCATTTCTTTATTCTTTCATCGAGAGGAGATAAAATTATTGCGAGAAATTGTAAGTAGTGTTGAAGTGTTGGTGTTCTTGTACAGAGGCATGTTATGTTTTTTTGTAATGATCCGAATGGATTTTTAAATTCGGGTGATGATGTTATGATCATGGAATTTACATGGAAACACTGAATGAATACAATGATGAATATATATACATATATACACTGAATAATATCTATTATCAATTTCAATGCATGGGTGATGTGAACCACAACCCATCAATCAAATGACAACAACAACATTTTCATCATGACCAATCTTGAACAATACTTGGTAACAACACTCCTCATCATCACTCACGATTTTATGTAACCTCCTCACATTCCATATTGACATAATATATACCCGTCATTCATCACACATTCACAACATACTCACATACATAGATCGTTACGACATTTTTGACGAGGTCGAAGATTTATTCTTTCGCAATGTGAGGAACGAAAGCACATCCAATTTTGGAAAACCAATTTTCAACCAACAAGGAATTAATTTTTTCCATGTCCGTAAATCTGGTCTCTATATTGTGTGTACGAGTAGAGAGAATGTTTCACCAATTACTATTTTTGAATTATTGGAACGAGCATGCATTTTAATTCGAGATTTCACAGGTCAATTGAGTGAAGATTCAATCAGAAAGAATTTTGTTTTGGTTTATGAATTGTTGGATGAATTATTTGATTGGGGAAAGGTTCAAACCACTCAAACAAATATTTTGACTTATTGTGTGTATAATGAACCTATAGAGACAGTGGACGTACCAACTACGAATGGTTTGTTGAATATTGCATTTACGGATCCAAAGACTGTGAAATCTACTGCAAGTAAGTTTTGGTCAAAATCATGATATAATATTTGACACATGTTGAAAATGCAAATGTTGGTAACACCATGACTCGTTTAGCCTGTCTTCCAATCACGAAAAAGAATGATCAAATTTTTGTTGACGTTTTAGAACGTGTGAATTGTGAAATGAATAGTAATGGTGAATTACTTCGTTCTGAAATTATTGGATCTCTGGTTGTGAAAAGTTACTTGATGGGAACTCCTCTCATTAGAATTGCTCTCAATCAAGATTTAGCCATTGGTGTTGAGAATAGCACTTATTCTGCCATTCGAGTCGATGCCATCAATTTCAATGAAATTATTAATCGAGACGAATTTGAACATGGACGCCAATTGTCATTCTATCCACAAGATGGTGAATTGACACTCCTCTCTTACCGTGTTACCAATAATTTTAATGTTGTCATGCCATTCCGTATCACACCTAGTGTCACCAAAACTGGAGATTACAAAATTGAAGCAGCAATTCGAGTTCGATCCGATTTTCCAAATTCAACATCTGCCACTGGTGTTTTCATTCGTATTCCAGTTCCAAAGAATACTGTCAGTTGCGGTATTAGCGTTGGTAATGACAAGGACTCTCAACAAACCTATGAATATAAGGAGAAAGACAAGGTAGTCGTTTGGGGACTCAAGAAATTCCAAGGCGCCACTGAACAATTAATCAGATTGAAGATTAATATATCTGAACCATGTAAAATTGATGAAAGGAAACTGATTGGACCTGTCACTATGAAATTTGAAATTCCCATGCACAACATGAGTGGTCTTCAATTGAGATATTTGAAAATTGGATCTGATTCTTTGAATGATGACAAGAAACCAAAACAAAAGAGATGGGTTCGTTATGTGACTCAAGCTGGATCTTACAGTGGAAGAGTGGCCATGTAAATATTGTTAAATTATTGAACTGATTATTATTAAATTATTGAATTGATCATTATTATTAAATTAAATAAATTTAATTGAACTTTTCAATAATTTAATAATAATAAACTTTACTCACAAAAAAAAATGTTGAATTCAGATTTTGCTCAATCCCATCTCATCGCAACATCATCTGAAAAAACGCATCAGTTCCTCGAGCTCATTAAAAAACAAAATCCGACACTATCTGGATTTGTAAAAATCTATGCAAGACGAGAATATATCTATGCCATTACCTATCCCGATCATCAAATTTATTATTATCAACAATTGTATCATCAACATCATCAACCAGGTAGCCTCCAAGCAAGTCTACTGTTGGATCCCTTAGAAAAGAATAATGATGGACAATGGATTGGGTGGAAACGAGCCTATTTTGTTGCAGCTTCGTATAATTGTTGTTATGTTTTAGTAGATCGGATTGTGGATGGAATTATTTCACCAGATGTGAGTATTTCCTTAATTTTAGAGTCTCAAAATTAGCATTGTTCGATATTATTAATGTTGGAACAAAGTTTCGAGAGGGATACGTCAATCATGAGCTACCCAATGGAGAATGTTATGAAATTCCAAAAAGATCATCTGTAGTGGCTTCTGTAACATGCGACATGGATCCATCAAACAGTGAGTTTGTTATATTGAACCCATCGAATACAAAGCTTTGGTTGAAAGGCATTGATGAGGCTCTTAGGCAGGATGAATTCATCACTTATATGGCATGTGGTGCTTATACATTGGTATTGGTCACCAATCAAGGAAGACTAATTGTTGGAGGTAGGCTTCAATGTTAAAAATCCTTTACACACCATGATTATCATTATTGAAAAATTGTAATTCGATGGATGTGTTTCAATTCACACAGGATCCAACGGATTTGGAGAATGTGGATATGATGGATACAGCACTGTCCCAACAGCTCCTCATCCATTCTGTGAAAAACATCCAAACGTGAAGTTTTGCAAAGTTGCTTGTGGAGATCACAACATTGTTGCTCTCACTCAATGTGGACGTATTTTCGTATGTGGATACAACTCTTCAGATGAATTAGGAATGAAGAACACGGGCAATCAAAAACAAATTACAGAAAGTGTAGAGTTTGCGAAAATTACACATTCAGATCCAGCCATTGATGTTGATTGTCATTATTATGGAGTGATATTTTTGACAAGAAATGGTTCAGTATATGTTTCAGGTAAGTCTTAAAGACACAAGGTACCTGAAAACTCTATCCATTGAATACTCATGATTCATGGACATGGTTTTCATGATAATTTAAACCATCCATCCACGATACGCTGGAAATTAACTTGCTACAGGAGGATCCAATAGGTCACTCTCTAAACTTACTCTTCCCTATCTACACAGTGGCACATTATTCAACACTGTAACATCGATTGGAGCTGGTAGTCACTCATTTCTAATTTCTCTTACCAACTCCAATTCTGATTTACTCATGTTAAAAGTTTCAAGAGACGCGTTGAATATTTCTGAAGCTGCTCAAATGAAAAAAGAATTCTTGAAAGGAATTTCATCTCAACAACAACGAATAGGAATGACAGGAAGTGATCAACCATCATTTTCATATATTGGCTATATTCAACAACGAGCTGTACGTTCTATTAAGACATTGCAGAAACAATTAGCACAACATCTCACAAATTGTTTTGAGGACAAGTCATTTGCAGATATTAATTTCACATGTTAATTCGAATCGTGTGCAAATCAAGTTCAAGGCAATCACATTGTGATCATGTCTCAATGAAGATATCATGATGTGTATTGAGATTAAACGAGACATCAAGTGAAAAAATACTTTTCTGAATATGAAACTTCCCTTTATTCAAATCAGCACTGTGAACAAAATGAACAAATCGAACCAAGTGGTGCTGATCTTGCATGTATTTAACACCCTAAGGGGAAAACCTAAACACACACAAAGTGCTAAAAACTAATTCAAAGAGTAGGAAGGATCGAATAACAATAATTCTTGCTTCATTTATATCTCTGTCAATATAATTAAGCCACTGATCATCATCCAATACATAAACAAGACACTATAAATATGATGACCATGGAAATTCTCTTGATCTGGACTCACATTTATATGTTAAGGTTAAAAAACTCCTTGCTCGTAATAACACTTCAATAAACTAACGTTACGGCAGGCTTTTGGATTGAACCGTAGGCGTCGTTCTGGTGGTGTTATTGCAGAAACAAATAGCAACACATCTCACAAATTGTTTCGAGCTTTATACGTAACGTTTATTATACATGTACTAAATCAAAAATGACGGGCTCAAAAGGTCATTAATTTGTGAACACAAATCGAGACATTAATTCCAATATACAATGAACATGACAACATTCCAACAATGGTCGCAAAATCCTTGTGGATCAAGATCATGATATCTATTCCTTTTTCCTCATGACTGAACGATGATTCTTTCGTGCAAAAGTAGTACTAGAAATATTCGACGACGAATTTGGGGAATGAGTTGAAGTATCCTCTCGTTTGGAATGCATGTGTTCATTTCTTCTATTATTTCTTCTCTTCATGAATGCTTTTACTAAATTCTTTGAATGGTCAATTGTTCGGTTTGTTCATTCAGATCATCCTTGTCCGCGTTGGTATTGGCAGGATCTCCCATGGCTCCTCCTCTTCGTTTTCTTCGATTATTTAGAGATAATTCTAATAGATCGATACGTCTGTTTTTTGCTTCAATGTCGGATTCGAGTTGATGAATGTAGAGAAGCATGTGATGAAATCGTTGTTGAAGAATGGAATTTTCGGAATGAATGGAATCGTCCCATCGTTCGAATTTGAGATTGGACATGGGATTGCATTCGAGAGCTGATAGTTTTTGGTTTGAGAGTTTCACATTCAATTTCTTTTAACATGAGTCGGATTTGAAGAGGGAAGAGAGATCGAGTGGTGGTTGTGACGACATTTTTTTTTTGTGGCATCTGAATGTGAGTGAAAAGTGACAGACGATGAGGCATGGTTAACATTGTTCATGTGTTGTCTTGAACTATTTACACTTTATAACGGATCTCACTCTTAATGGAGTCGCTAATTTTGTGTTGCTGTGGTTCAGTGGTTGGTTGTTCTTGAAGTTCGACATCTCCACTGTTGTTGTAGACTCTGACGATGGGATGCGTTGTTGAATAAGGTTCACAACAAAGGCAGGATCAACGGCATGTTCAAAGAAAATTCCAGTCTTTTCATGGGGAAGAAGCTTGAGATGAATCTTGTTACCATCTGCCCAAACACTATGAATCTTGTCAAATGAACACATATCTCAATGTTAACCGCAATCGACATGGCAACTCATCCACTCGAATCACACGCTTGTCAGTAATATAATAGTGAACCTTTCTCATTCTGAATAAAATCTTTGAGATGACAACACCAATAGCAGCAATGCTCAATGCAAAAAGATGAGTCCCCTAATGACAGACTTGTTACAAAAACTAATGACTGCAAACGCAATAAGAGTACCAACAGCAAGAACAAACAAGACGCCTAACAAAATCTTGATGGCTTTGCAATTCTTCTCTTTCCATTGCAAGATGATTGAGAGTTGTTTCCATGGAAATGAGAACACAAATTCTTCTTGGAAACCTTTTCATAGTAGAGTAAGGTTTCGTGTGGTTCTGTGGCAGTATGTCTGAGAGCGCCATAGAACATTTTCATTCTCTTGGCCAATGCTCTCTCCTTACGAGGTGGGAGTTCCATTTGCAAAGTTGCAGATGAGAGAAGGGTGTGATCTTTTGGTTCTTTAGGCTCTTGAATAATGACACAGCTTTGAGAGACCTCGTCCAACTTGTAGACTTGTCCAGATTCCTTGAATGGATTCTTAAGGTATTGCTTAAAGAATCTGTCAATGGAACATTTTGATCTTCCTTCCAAGCGCTTGTAACCAACCACAATAAAGACGACCATTGCAATGAGTGAAATAATCAACCAGATTGGTACTGTTCTGTGGAGATGCTTTCTGAATGATCTCTTCACTTCTTGTACAGTCTTGACCATTTCGCTGTTAAATTGTCTTCCATAATGGTCGCTACGGTGAACATCATGTGCTTGTTCATTGGATTGATCATGATTTGGTTCTTGCTTGGAGAGAATTTGGGAGAGTGGAATTTCACGAGTCATTATGTGTGGACCGTGACGAGGACCAGAATGGTGCAATTCTCGAGTCATCATGCCAGGATGATGATGGTGACCATGATGCATCATTTGTGGTCCAGCGTTATCTTCCTTGTGGTGATTGCCAGGAGCCTTATTCTCACCACCATGTCCATGATAATAATGATCCATGCCAGAACGTTTTCTCAATCTTCGATTTACCATGCAAGTCAAACTTCCCTTAGCAATAATACGATCTCTACAATCTGAGGTCTTTTGTAAGAGTGGGCTTGCACATACTTCTCTCAAAGTGTACATCTTTTTAACGGCTGAAGTCGATGATGATGGTGGCTTAGCAACACACGAGTCACATCCCATGTAATACTTTGTTCCACTTGCAAGATCAACATTCAAGTTAATATAATACATGTCACGATCATAATCGAAATGAACTACCAAATTGTCTGGATCTTTCATAATCAAGCATTGATCTTTCTTGTATGCCATTTTACCGTCAATACTGGATCCAACAGTGAATAAGAAGATCAATGTCAAGATGAACAACAATACTCCACCAACAACCACAGCTCTTGGAATACATGACAATGTCTTGCTTTGAAGAGCATGAAGGAATTTGTGTTGTTCTCGACAACGTTTCCAAAAGTTACAACAATGGTTGTTGCCTCGTGCACAGGTTGGGCTGTTGTTTGTTGTGGGAACTTGTTGTTGTGGCTCGACTTGATGAAGAGGAACGTTCTCAGGAATGTGGTGTTGTTGTTGTTCGTTTTGAGCCGTTGGTATCAAGTTGATGATGGGTGGTTGTTGCTGAGCCGACAACGTTCCGACCACAGGAGGTATTTGAGCAACTCCAGCACCATTTGTATAATAATAGGGATTTGAAGCATAACCCAACGATGGATACATGTTGTTGTTGTTGTTTTGGTTATTGTATTGTGGTTGAGCATACATCATGTGGTTAGGGTAAAGTCCCGATGATGGCACCACTTGCTGCGGATGAGCTTGCGGGTTGGATGGTTCCATCTATATATTCTGACGGTCTACTCTGTATCAATGATTATTATTCAAGTTGTGATGAAAAAGCTTTCAAGTACTTTTTCTTTCGTGGCTGATCGGTTTATGAAAAAGCAATGCGTTCAATATTTAAGGAGCGATACAATATGCGCAGCGCACTTTTTTTTGCTTGTTGATTCGAAATTTTGAATCCAAATGGAACTCTTTCAAAATACTGTACCGCTTGCGAGCAAGGAAGGAGATGTAAGATGGAAACACACGTGTGTGGATGATGATCAAGTGCAATTGTCCACCAGAAAAATAATTTCAATATGTGCGTTTTTTTGAGTTGATGTCCCTTTCATCACATGAAATCGATTTTTAAATTGTTTTTTCAACTTCTCTCAGTGAAATTCCAGAGTTCCTTACTGAGAACTTGATATGGGAACTTTTATTTATTAAGGTTGGATTTCAACAATGTCGTGTTTCTATTATTCACAGAGGATTGTACAGAAAGTGGTGAGGTGCGTTGAGGAGGAGCATTTGAACTATTATTCGAAATGGAATTTCCTGAAGAAGAATTGAACGAGCTGAGATTCAATGCAGTCACTTGAGGTGGTGATGTTTGAGAGGATGATGTCAATGACTTGGTAGATAATGTTGACTTGTTCAAATAATTTCCAGTCGTTGCTGTCGTCATTGTTGATGGATTGGATTGGATGGTCGGTGATTGCTGTTGTTGCATATTGGACTTGCTTGATTGAACATTCAATGTTGAGGATACTCCCGTGCTACGAGAAGCAATAGACGCTGAAGATAATGACGACGAGACTGGCAATGAAGATGATAATCTCTGACCTTGTGTTTGCTGTTTCTGTTGTTGAACGTGAACCGTATGCGAAGGTGGTTGTTGAATGGTGGCCATTCGAATCGGTGACGAGGTGTATGAGGGAGATCCAGAAAGTGTGGGAGATTTCGTGGGAGAGGCCTTCATGGAAACGGGAGAAGTAGAACTATTCTGTGTGTTGGTTTTGATTTCATTGTCTTTTAAAATCGTTTTTGCAGTTTCTGAAACTAATATTTGAGGATCCTTCTTGTTGCCACTCAATCGATTTTTTCTGCATTTTCCTTTGGCAAGTGCTGCAATTTCTATACCTCTCTGTTCACTTGAAAGAATCTTATTCAGGACAATGAGAGGATCGGCTCCTGTTCCTATATAAACGTTGGATCCCATATTGCTATAAATGTTGTTATTTACAATATTTCCCAATCCACCTTCCACGATTCGAATACCTTCTTGATGTCCATCATGAATTTGATTATTCTCAATGACTGGATTTCCTCCTCTCTCGATCAAGATGTTTGCTTCTAAATTTCCAAAAATGTCATTCTCTGTGATGGTTCCATGAGAATCTGAATGAATGTGAATTCCGGCTTGAGGCGAGTCACGAATTGTGTTGCCTGTAATGGTTGGATCTGCCTTATCACAAATCTCCAGTGTCACACCCTTAAAAGTGCATTGTTCAATGGTGCTGTCACATTTCGATCCTCTCAACACGACCACTCCAAGTGGATGTTTCGAAGGAACTCTTGTATGCGCCCAGGTTGTTGAGGTTTGTATTCCGAGTTGTAAACAATGATATTTCTAATTTTCGAATATCTCACATTATCAAAAATAATCACCTCATTCACATCCTTTGGTTTGTACAGAATGACATGTGACTTTCCTTCCGACATTCCTTTTAACACAACACTTCGATCAATAATGACTTGTTCTCGATAAATTCCTGGCTTAATCTTAATGACAGGTGTTGTCAATGGTCGTGTAGGTTTGATAATTTTTCTGCCATCTGAAGGTCGAGTTGTGAATGGTAAATTAAATTTCTGCATCAAGAGACGTTGCTCTGAAAAATCACCCGAATGCACTGGGTTGTTGGTTCCCAAAATGACACCACCACTTGTATTGCGTCCATCATCATCGCTTGAGGGAGATGATACTGACGTGGTACTATCCTCCAAATCCAAATTCTTATTCGTTACATTACTATTATGTAAGAAACTTGTTGTTTTTTTGAGAGACGAATGACCTAATGTGAAACCAGACATGCTGGCAGCAGAAAGTGTTTTGTGATTGAACTCTGAGATGATGGAATGGGTCGTTTGGGTTTGAGAGTAGTAATGTCAGGAGGAATGGCATTAATGGCTTTTTTGAATCGAGTCATAGTCTTCACTTCCATTCACATCGACTGTTAATTTTAAAGAATTATTCAGTGGTATACTTCTCAATTCATTGAGAATGTCAGCAAATGTAGGCCGTTCGTCAGGATCCTGTAAACAACAAATGGAAACAAGTTTGATGAAACATTCGAGAATGGGAGAGGACTTGGCCAACTCGTCTTGTTTGTCAATCTTGGGTCGCATTCCACTAATGACATGAGAAGCCACAGCAAAGGGATTAGAAACATCATGAAATGGTATTAAATGTGTCACCAATTCGTACATGACCATTCCAAAAACTATAGACATCAGCTTTTTCACCGGAGGAAGCAGCCGATGAAAACATTTCAGGAGCCATCCATCCCGAAGTGCCTAAGTTTCACCATTGTTATGAATGTGTTATAAATAAAAATCGATTTGAGTGTATAAATAAATTTGAGTGACATACCTTTCATTCCTGAAACTCCTGAATTTCGATTTCTCATGGTAGAAAATCCAAAATCCGAAATTTTTGATGTTAAATTCTTGTCAAGCAAAACATTGTGAGATTTCAAATCTCGATGAATGATAGGTTTTGGTCTTGAATGAAGATGATGCATTCCTTCAGCAATATCAATCGCAATTTGAAGTCTCATTACTCAATATGGGTTGTCTCTGTAAAAACTTTTGATACCGATCTGCTTCTTCCTGATCATCCACAAGCGCCGATCCTTGTAAAACTGGTTTTTTTGTAATGTAGTAGAAGTTGTTTTTTGTTTTGACTCAAATTTGCTGACTTTCAGACTCATCTTCCATGGGTGCTAATTGTGATAAATTTTGTTTTTGTGACTTCATTAATGGTTCATAATCGTATTCGGGGAGAGTGGTCTCCAAAATTTTGTGAAGTGAAAATGGCATAAATTCCATGACCAAATAAACACAATTTGGATCTGTACTCCATCCATATAAATTCAAAATATTTGCATGTTGAACTCGAAGCACTGCAATTTCATTCAAAGTCTCTCGCCATAATTCGTCATCTTCGGAAGCAATGCTTGAAAGACCGATTCGACTTCGAGGTGTACGAGCATTTTCCGGAATGAAGAGTTGTTTAATGGCACATACTTCTCCTTCGTATGTTCCTTTGCTGATGATTTTTTGGAAAATATATGGTTGATTGAATGACAATGTATATGCAAGAGTTGAAAATGTAATAAACAATATTGCAAATAATCACATGATTTGTAAAAGAAAATGTTGTCATTTCAAAGCCAGCGAAAATGTCAGATGACAAATGTCAGCCATCATCAAAAATATTATTGCTTGCTTTGACAAAGCCTAAGATAACCCGAGCGACAACATTTCA